CCTCCACCTCATTTTCCAATTGGTCTTGGTCGATTTCATTCTTAACATCATTAGGATTTTTATTTATTTTAGTTTCATAGGTTATTCTTTCTTCTCTACTCTTAAAGAATACTTGTAATTCATTGCCAACTTGTTCTACTCGGACATGATAACTTACCCCTGCTTTACAACTGGCCACTTGTCTATTGCTCTTATCACTTTTATCTAAAACAAACTCGATGTCTGTGTCTTGATTAGGAGTATAAATCCCTGGGGAACCAACATAACCAGAACAACCTCAACAGAAACCATTATTAGGGTCAGAGTGAGAAAAAGGACGACCCAAAGTTAAAAAATTACTCATTTCAGCAAAATTAGTAGGTCTAATTCAGGTGCCATGACCTCAGGCTTTTTGTTTAACATCTCCACTAGCCACTTTTCTATCTTCTTCAATTATTTCTACTTTCTCAATCAATTCTTCCTCAGCACTAGAAATATTTCAAGCATTCCCTCCTACCTGAATATGATTAGCAGCATGGGCAAATCTTAAAACAGGATTTTTTAAGTTCTCTCCATCATCCAGCCAATAACCTCTATTCATAATATTAGTAAAAAAATTATTGCTATCCTTTTCTAAATAAACCTGACTTCATTTTCACAATCCTGGTCGTTGGGTTCAAGTTCCTAATTCTCTCCAAGATAAAGGTAAGTTTAATTGGTGAGATTTATTATTAGCCCAATTTAACCTATTATATAATAATTCACTGATTTCTACTCGGTAAAAAAATATCGGGTCCGTTAATCGGTTAAAAAACTCCCCTAAACTATAATGAAAATCAATGGTGTTGGCATTAAACATGGAAGGCTCAATGCTTTTGTCCATAAAGTTCCGAAAAGTATTTTTAAACATTCTTTCGGTTTGGGCTTCTTGCTCGGCTTTGGGGTCGTCTCCTGATTTAATTTTCCCAGCCTCTTCTCCAACATCATTTCAATTAGTTCCAAAAGAAAATTTTCCTTTTCCTCCTGTTCCTAATACTTGTCCCCCTCCTCCAATACTGAAATTAAACCCTCTCATTACTCGGGCTGGGTTGGTTCAGTCTTCAAAAGTGCCTTCATTGCTTACTTCACATTTAACAGTAATAAAAGCAAACTCTCATCGATAATACAAATTGCCAGGAGAATAATTAATGAAGAGTTTATAAGGAAGAATAAATTTACCATCCTTTTCTACTATTCCTAAATACCGACCATTAGCCGTCATAGTTATTTTGTTAAAAAGATAAAATTGGAAAGTAGTATGGTCTCATAAATGGGGTTGGTCTTTTAGCCATTTAGTAAAAGTCGGGTTTTTAGGGAATAATACTTCTTCATACTCTTCCATTTTGCTAAAATAGGCTTTGCTTAAATCAGTCATTTCGGTTGGTCCCACTGTCAAAACTACTTTGGCATTTAATAGCATTTGTCCTATTTTTCGGGCCGTAGCCCCAGTAAAATCCAAAGCACTACCTAATTTCAACAAAGACATTAAAGCAGCATCATTAAACCAACTTCCTGATAAATTATTGGCTTCATGTTCTCCGAACTTACTTAACTTAATATCGGAAGGAATGGATAATTGTTTGGGTTCGGAATTTCTACCAGTTGGCACTTGCTTACTTCAAGTTATATTTCGGGCTGCTCCTAATACTCCTTCATATCTTACTTGGGCTCGGAATAATTGAAATTTAGGTTGATAAGAAGTAAAAGCCTGCTGTTCTATTTTCTTAATCCCTAAATCCCCACAGAAATCATAATGAAGTCGATATTGTTCGTCTAAATAATTTCTCCCTTGTTTATCTTTTTTAGGGTTATCGGTTCAGTCTTTAATTAAATTAGGAGCCTGATTAATTACTCCTGCCCCTGCCGAAGTTATCCAATTACGATAATTTAAAGACAACAAACACTTCCTAGCCCTGATTTCCACAGTTAGTTTATAATTATTACTGCGTGCGAAATTATTTTCCGCTTTTTGTTTTTAACTGAATTACGCAGTAATTTAACTTTACTAGAAAAGCGGACATTTAATTTGCACATTGTAATATTAGTGTAAGTAAAAGAAGAGATAAAATAAAGTTGTTTTTTTCACAAAATAGCAATATCAGAACGGGATAAATCATAAGAAGTATTATTCCCTCCTTCTTTAATATTTCCTAATTGCTGTAATTCCTCATTAAATAAATGAGTAAAAGAAAACTCGTTTAATTCTTCATAATTTTTAGTTGATAAACCTTCTTTTAATTCCTCCTGGTATTCTTTAATATTTTCTCTTTCCTCATGGCTATATTGGGGACTTCGTTCACCCGTTTTTAATTCTCGGTCAATATTATTTAACTCTTGGTGTATCTTCTTCCTTATTTTCCCTAATAATTCCTGTTCTTTTTCCTGTTTTAATCTTTGTCCTCCAAAATAATTCTGAGTCACCAATAATATCTCATTATTAGCATTCCACCCTATTTTACAATTATATTCGGGAAATTTAGTCTCTTTTATCCAGTCTTTTGCTTCTTTATATCTTTGTCATTTAGGGATAAAAGTATAATTTTTATTTCAATAAACTTTCCCTTTTTTATCTTTAAACTCAATTAAAGAAAATTTCTGATTTCAATGTTCGGGGTTATTTCTTATATCTTCTCATTTTTTTATTATATTAGGTGTTAGAGACATATTATTTAGTAAACATCGTGTGGGGTTCACACTCAAAATTATTATTAGGTCAGTTTAAGTTTAATTCAGGGCTTCCTACTCACTGATTATCTTTATTCATCGTTCTAATTCTAACGAGACTTATTTTTTGCCCTCCTTCATAAGTAAAAATAAATCGGTTTTTGCTGGTTTCTAAATTAGTAAACTGGGTAAAATTATCAATCGGCCTATTGATATCCTCACTCACATAACCCCGTAAATTTTTAAAAACACTCTCGATATTGGCATTAGTTTGTCGGTATCCTCACTCCTCGGTTATTATATATTTACAAAAGTCATCCGTTAGTTGCTCGGCATAATGTTCAGTATCTTTATCACTCCTCAACTTCTTCCCCAACATAAACTTAACATAACCAACCCTTTGCTGATAAGTGGCTAATTCAATATTTACCATTTCAGCCCTATTCTGAACGAAGTCAGGCACTTGGTCAGCATAATTGGCTGTGCAGAGTAAAATACAATCGGATAAGTCTACTCGATACCCTAAAAATTGGTCGTATCAATCTTTATTTTTTTTGATATCTAAAACATTACCGATCATCATGGCTAATCCTTCGTCGGCCACCTTTTCAAACTCATCCAAGAGAATAATGGCTCCTCGGTTTTTCCCCACACTAATGCCTTGACAAGGTCGACCAGGATAAGCAGCCTTGACACTGGGGCTAACTCCTTCTAATATTCCCGTATCCTTTCGTCCTCCTAAATCAACATTAATTAACGGCCTTTCCATGGCCTCGGCCAACTTTTCACTAATAAAAGATTTACCAATGCCAGGAGGACCTAATAAAACATAAATAGTCTGCTCGGTTTTTTTATTATCTCGGATGTCTTTGGCTAAGTTGACAATATACATTCTCATTTTGTCTTTAAACTCATTATAACCGACTACTTGGGTCATAACTTCTTCAAACTTAACGAGGGAAGGAATATTTAAATCTTTTTCTCAGGCCTTAATTAATCCCTCGGCTAATTCTTTTTGTTTATCAATGGCAAGTCCCGTCAAACTTCCTACGGGGGCTTTTTCTTTTTCTTTCCGTTTTAAATATCGAGTAATTTGTTCTAAATAGAAGTTAGTAGGAGTAGGAGTTTTCTTTTCCTTTTTACATAATTCGACCCATTCTTCCCAACTTATTTCACTGCTATCATCTACTTTTTTCTTTTTTTGAGGGATAAATTGGGCTTCTTCTTCCTCTTCTTCTAATCGGGTGGATATTCATTTTCTTCTTCCACTAGGCAAGACTTTTATATAACCACTAGCCCCAAATATTTTTAAAAATAAGAATTGGTAATTACGGGGGTCAAAATCTAGTTTAAATCCTTGACAGGCTGATAGTAATTTCCCCAAAAAAGTTTTATCTCCCCAAGCCTCGGTTTTCTCGTAAGTATCTTTATAAGCAATGGAACCGTCCTCAT